GGGGGGGGGGGGTTAGGGTCTGCCCCGGTGTCTGCACTCCCCTGTCCCGGCAGTGACAGTCGCTAATGCAGTACTAACCTCTGTCATGACCTACTTTGCTGTGCTACCTCGTTCCAGACCTTTACAGGGCGCGCGCACACACACACACACATCAATAATGAATAAAAAAAGCAAGGACCTCCTTATGATTCCGCACACGTTAATTTAAAAAAAAAAAAAAAACGGCTCCTGATAGCGCACGCGGAGGCATTTGAGCAGATTACAAATTTGAAAAGTTGACTGCGTAAGAGGAAAAACAGAGCCGGTTTGACAGCTGAGAAAATGACTGCGTGTTATACGTCTGACACGTCCCCGGGAGAGAGGTGAAGCAGGACAGAATGATGGCCAGCTTGATTTTCGGCCCAGAAAATAGATTTCCATTTAAACCCTCATGTGACCGGCCTTTTGAAGTCGTGCTCACCCAAAGACAAGAGAATTTCATTTAGAAGTGGCGCTTTCCTAGTTGTTGGCCTGATGGATGGATGTGAGAGCCTCCTGCTTCCTCTCTGAGGGGATGCTTTTCTCCCTCACCAGAAAGGGGAAGATGCTGCGGCTTTTCCAATCATAACCCTTCGATGCACCAATAAGATCACGGTATCAGCCTGAAATGTGCTTGATCGCTTTCATTTCTCACCAAAACAAGATGCTCACCTTCGTCTGGGATTGACGTAATGGAATCTCTTTCTTGTCGACGCTGACAGCATTCAGAATCAGTTTTTTAAGGCTGTGTCTGTCTTGAAAGGACCCCCCCCCACACACACACACACTTTTCTTTTTCTTTCTTTCTTTCTTCCTTTTTTTTTCTTTGTGAGGGGAGGTGTGTAAATTTCTAATGAGGAGCTGGTGTCTTGCCTGCAGGAGAGAGCAGTTACAGAGAACCCGGTTTGGAAAAACAGGGAGGAATTCAAATTGGGAGCTGAGCAAACTCAGAATGTTCAATTCAAAACAACCTCAGACCTCAAATCCTACTGCCTAGTGGAACGGCATACAGTGAGAATCAGATGGATCTTAACTGTCAATGTACTCTCTACTGCATTGTGGGATTATACCAATACAAATTTTTTATCACAACTGATTTAGAATAGAATACTCAATCCATCTTAAAGCAAATTTAAAACGGTCCCCTAAAAACTAATCTTTGGATATAATTTATAACTTTTCTTTAAAAGTTTGCTCTTTTGTTGTCCCCTGTCTTTGCTCCTCAGGGCTCTTCTTTAACTCTCGAAACACAGTTCTCATACCAATCTATAAATGTAACCACTGCCTCTCCATTCTGCTCTTTGTCTACCATCAGATCTCAGTGCAGTTTCTTTCCTCGGGCTGTGCGACTATTGAACCCATCCTCCACACTCCTGCAAATAGTTTAATCTCCCTGATTTAATCATTTCTTCATTATTCATTCATAACTTATTTTTTTAGAGTGTTTCTATTTCTGTAATTTTGTTATATAATCCCAGGGTGCATATTGATCATTCAATTGATTGTTGAATCTTGACTGCTTCCCACTGTGTAGCATCACTTTTTTTTATTTTTTATGAAGCACAACTGTGTGCGTTTGGGGTCTGAGAGGAGCAACAGCTATATCAGGCAAAGATATTTTGGCCGACCGGCTTTGCGCGTTGAGCCTTGTTCTTTGGCCCTGGATGGTAGCATGTTTGCTCTGAAAACGACGTTCTGAAATGACTCTGAATTCTAAATGTTAAACAGTGAGCCGATATAAAGGTGAATGTTCCCTCTGGCTCTCTGTTCTTGAGTCCCAACCTCACCTTAGTGAACTGAGAATGATCTCATGCAGCAGCATTCATATGACTTGCACGTTTGGCTTTTCCTGTGCATTGAGGAGTTTTAAAATTGTTTAATCAAAGGGAGATCCTTTGAAGGTTAAAAAAAAATCTCGATAATTTACGTGAGGTTGAGAATTTTGGCAATTAGAGTGAAGAGTCTGGATATTGGTGGTGTTGGTGGTAGGGTTGAAATGACCAATTCAGACAGCAGTGCCCCACCAACCGGTCATCAGAAGAGGAAGAGGAAATGATGGTGTCTGATTTTTGCCGCAGGATGTGAGCTGGAAGAACAGTGGACCAGAGGAGTGACCACCAAACTGACAATGGTTGACCCTGAGGGTGTGACAGTGTAGCGAAGCTTTAATAGCCTACACATTAGGAGATACAGGCTGATACGACGGGGTTGTAGAGCAGGGAAAACCTTCCTTTACAGAT